CCCTGCTAATCAAGGTAAGAATATTTTAATAGTAGGCGATTCTCAGGTAAAATATGTGGACCATGCATTTTGTAACGGAGACAGAAAGGTCAGACAGAGAGTGTCTCCCCCTGGAGCTGGTGTTGGTGACATAGTCAGCAGGTTGGATAATATTATGGTAGGTAATGGGAACAAGCCCATTATCTGTCTTATTGCTGGGGGTGATGACATTGGGAAGGGCAGGAGAGAGGAGCTGCTGGATAAGTACAGGTCAGCCATAGAAGTAGTTAGGTCTAAGGGAGGGATCCCAGTCATATGTAGCATCTTGCCTAGAAAGGGAGTGGGCAGTGAATGGATGTCTAGGGCAATGAATGGATGTCTAGGAAAATTGGTATAAATTGCTGGCTAGACAGGTACTGCAAGGAACTTGCAATCCCATTCATTGATAACTGGGACCTATTCTTTGGCAAACGTGATATGTATGCAAGGGATGGGGTTCATCTCTCTGGGGATGGAGTGGTTGCATTAGCCAATTCAATTGAGAGGGTAATTGATGACTTGTCTAGGAATTTAAACTGATAGATTATAGAGGTATGAGTGTTTGTGGGAAACAATCAGGCTACAGCATTAGGATTAAAAACAGCAGTTATTACTGGGATACCTCAGGGATATGTTTAAAAGACTAGCTCCTTAAGGTCTACTATACAAATAGTAGGAGTCTAAGAAATAAGATAGATAAGCTAAGATTACTTGCAAGTGTGGGTAATATAGATATTGGTATAATAGAGACCTGGTTCAACCTGAAAGATAGAGAAATGCCTTCTGAATGCAACATACAGGGTTATAAACTATTCCACACTGATAAGGTCAACAAGAAGGGTGGTGGTGTGGCGATGTATGTCAGAGAAAATTTAAATTGTTGTCTTAAACATGATATAAGATTAGAAACATCGAACACAGAATCTGTATGGCTACAGTTTCTCGAGGGACGTGACAAATTAATTTTGCGTGTGATTTATAGGCCCCCAAACCTTGATAGGGAGGGCAGTAAGCTGTTATGGGACGAAATTCATAAGGCATCTAGATATGAAAATGTTGTGATAATGGGAGATTTTAACTTTAGACAAATTGATTGGAACAATATGACAGAAAATCTTGAGTCTAGTGACTTTCTTGATATGGTTCAGAATTGCTTTTTAGAACAGGTTGTGACAGAACCAACTAGAGGAAACTATCTGCTTGACTTGGTTCTTGCCAACAAAGATTCACTAATTAATAATCTTGAGGTTAATGATGAGCTTGGGGAAAGTGATCACAAATCACTTAGTTTCAATATATCATGGAATTATCCAGATAACTGCAATCAAATCTCTGTCCCAGATTTTCGTTTGGCCGACTTCATGGGACTGAAAAATTACCTAGGTAGGCTAAATTGGGATGTCCTGACTATGGGTCAGGTAGGTGATCTTGGTTGCCAATATGACGTTTTTCAGAGCATAGTTCTAGCTGCCCAGACAACTTTTGTTCCGAGTAGGGAAATTAGATCTAACAAAAATTACCCCAAATGGATGAACAACAGATTAAAACATCTCATTGGTCAAAAGAGAGGCATATATAGGCGTATCAAAAGAGGGGATGGGCAGTTAAGAAATCAATATATTCAATTAAAGAGAGAAATAAAGAAAGGAATAAGAAAAGCAAAAAGGGATTATGAGGCAAAGGTCGCAAGGGATTCAAAGACTAACCCAAAAGGGTTCTTTCAGGTATACAGAAGTAAGATTAGGGACAAGACTGGCCCACTTAAGAGTAACTCTGGTCAGATCACTGACAGTGATAAGGATATGCGAAATTCTAAATACCTACTTCCTTTCATTTTTCACCCAGGAAAATACTAGCGATATTCCTGAAATAATAGATTATGTAGAACAGGATGATAATAAACTATGTACGATTGCAGTAACTAGTGACATGGTCCTCAGACAAATAGAGAAACTAAAACCTAACAAATCCCCAGGTCCTGATGAACTGTTTGCAAGGGTGTTAAAGGAACGTAAAGAGGAACTTAGCATACCTTTGGCTAATCTTTTTAACATATCACTACAAACTGGCATAGTGCCTGATAAGTGGAAAATGGCAAATGAAATACCTATTTACAAGGCAGGTGACAGGTCCTTGGCTTCGAACAATAGACCAATAAGCCTTACCTCCATAGTGGGAAAATTTATGGAATCAATTGCCGAAGCAATTCGTAGCCATCTTGACAGGCACAGATTGATTAGTGAATCTCGACACGGTTTTACAAAGGGGCGTTCCTGTCTTACGAATTTACTAACTTTTTTCACTAAGGTGTTTGAGGAGGTAGATCATGGTAATGAATATGATATTGTGTATATGGACTACACCAGAGGCTACTGAGGAAACTTAAGGCACACGGAATAGGAGGAGAAATTTTTTCCTGGGTAGAGGCATGGTTGACATATAGACAGCAGAGAGTTTGCATAAATGGGGAGAAATCAGAATGGGGGCACGTCACAAGCGGTGTTCCTCAGGGGTCAGTGTTGGGTCCGTTGTTGTTCACAATTTACATAAACGACATAGATGAGGGAATAAATAGCGACATAAGCAAATTTGCTGATGACACCAAAATAGGCCGTCCAATTAATTCTAATGAGGACACTAGAGCACTCCAGGATGATTTGAATACACTGATGCAATGGTCGGAGAAGTGGCAGATGCAGTTTAATATTGATAAATGCAAAGTTTTAAATGATGGACAGTTAAATAACCATGCCACATATAAACTAAATAATATATATCTTAATACTACTGATTGCGAAAAGGATTTAGGAGTTCTGGTTAGCAGTAATCTAAAACCAAGACAACAGTGCATTAGTGTTCGCAATAAAGCTAACAGAATTCTTGGCTTCATATCTAGAAGTATAAAAATAGAAGTCCTCAGGTTGTTCTTCAACTCTATATATCCTTGGTTAGGCCTCATTTAGATTATGCTGCTCAGTTCTGGTCACCGTATTACAGAATGGATATAAATGCTCTGAAAAACGTACAGAGGAGGATGACAAAGATGATCCCATGTATCAGAAATCTTCCCTATGAGGATAGACTGAGGAGCCCTGAATCTGCACTCTCTCGAAAGGCGTAGAATTAGGGGGGATATGATCGAGGTGTATAAATGAAAAACAGAAATAAATAAAGGGGATGTAAATAGTGTGCTGAAATTTTCCAGCCAAGACAGGACTCGCAACAATGGTTTCAAGTTGGAAAAATTCAGATTCATGAAGGATATAGGAAAGCACTGGTTTGGTAATAGAGTTGTGGATGAGTGGAACAAACTCCCGAGTACAGTTATTGAGATTAAAACGTTGTGTAGTTTTAAAAATAGGTTAGATAAATACATGAGTGGGTGTGGGTGGGTGTGAGTTGGACCTGACTAGCTTGTGCTGCTGGGTCTCGTGCAGTGCTCCATGCTTGAGTGGAGGTGACCAGACTGGGTGGGTCATTGGGCTAATCCGGGGGGGGGTCTTTAGTCTAATCCGGGGGGGGGACATGGACCTGCTCCGCATGGGTCAGTAGGCCTGTTGCAGTGTTCCTTTTTCTTATGTTCTTATGAAAGAAAAACATTCATCATCATTCACTCCATCACTGTCTTACCAGAGGCATGCTTGTACTACATTTTTGCATGATGGTAGGACTGCTGGTGCCTTTTTCTGTCTCATAAACATGCAAGGTTGCAGGTAGGTCTTGCTACTTCTTCTTACACTCAGATCACGCTACACATACATGCACAAGCATATATATAAACAGCCCTGGGACCATCCTGTTTTCTGAAAAAATTGCTTAACATATCTTGCCAACTTGCCAATATTTACTCTCTATCTCTAGTACTGCAACCCCGTTGTTTCCCACACCTACCCATACCTCTATGGACCAATGCTGTTCTTGTTCCTGTTTATTTCTGCTTATCTCCATGGGGAAGTGGAACAGAATTCTTCCTCCGTAAGCCATGCGTGTCGTAGGAGGCGACTAAATGCCGGGAGCAATGGGCTAGTAACCTTTTCTCCTGCATAAACTACCAAAAACAAGGAAAAGAAACACCTCTTAAGGTGTTCACAGTTGCTTGACTGAGTATATACGAGCGGTGAAGGTTATATCTACATTTTCCACTTCTGCAATTTCACCTGCCCTGAAGGGGGCTATTTGTACACAATAATATTCCAGCCTAGAGAGAACGAGTGACCTGAAGAATGTGGGCACTAGCACCGCATCTGCTGTTTTGAAATTTCTAATTATCTATCCTATATTTTTTCCTTGCATCTGCCATATTAAAATTGTTGTGATCGTTGAAGGTGAGATATGACATTATCACTCCCAGGTCTCTCACATTAGACTTACATTCTGTTAAGTGATTTAAGTTTGTCTCTCACTCTGATCTTGTTGTTATATCTTCTCTTCTCCCATAAACCAATAAAGTCGAATGAAAACCTTATTTAAATTATCTCTGTTTTAAATATTAGATAAAGAATTAAATACGGTAAAATATTACATATATTTATTAATAAAAACAAAATAGAAAGCGTATATATATTACATGATAACTAAGAGTTACATAAATATCAATAACCTGGATACAAGACCAAGTTATTTATTTTCTACACACGTGTCCAGGTGTGCTCCAGGTGTCCACCAACACACCTGTTGGACCATGTATGTGAAAGGTCGCCATGCAATGGACTGCATTGCTAATTATTATTTAAAATAATCTACCCCGGGGCAATATCCAAATTTCCGGGAGGACCGTCAGGCTTGTGTAGTGTTCAGGAACAAGTGAACAATGTTCACCAAATGGCTATTTCTTTAAAAATTTCATGAATTTTATCACCGTTTTGAAGCCGAGTGGCGAGGCATTGGCCAATGACATTTTAATTTATTGCAGCGGGTTTATGTAAGTAGAACATCTGAGAAAGTTTAAAAAAAAAAACTCATTGTACTTTGTTCATGCACAGTTGAACGCTACTGCTGCCCCAGGTGAAAGTGATCTCGTCCCCAGCTTCTCTATTGACTCACCCAGGCGGTGGTTTCGTCCCCAGCTGCTCAACAAAACAGAGGCTCGTCCCCAGCTGCTCTGTAAGACAGGTGGCAGGTTTGTCCCCAGCTTCTCTGATCAGCTGATGGAAATTTTTCCGTGAGTGTGTAGTGTGAGGGCAGTGTGTGTGTGTCTGTGTTGGAGACAAGAGGTACAGCAGCCATCAACTACTCCACCTCACCGACCACTTCACCTCAACAACCATGAACGGAGTAAATGGAGTCAAGAATATCATGGCCAATGGGAGAGGTAAGAACAACTTACTTAGGCTTTTGGGTTATCTAAGGTTAAAGGTACATAATATACTGTGTGTCTATAACAACTATGTTCCCTCAAGACCATTATTAAAAAAATTATGTGTTATATATCCAGACCCAAAACCCAAAATAAAACTTATTGGGTTAAATTTCTATTATTTAAACAAGTTAAAACATAGGTATTATGTTAAATTGTGACGTTTTAATCTGGGTTATGCCAAGAATATAATTTATTTCCTGCACTCTCATTTATAATTTATCAAAAAACCCAGAAGAGTTATACTTCCCGGTCTCCTATATACTATATCATTTTTATTGTATTCGCTATATTATGTAGATATCTCCGTCAAAATTTCAACCTGAGAGATTGTATATCCCAGGTGATAGTAACTCCAGTTCTACTGGAAGGAATACACTGAAGCTGCTGAACCTTTCATGGTATACTCGACGATATCTTCACTGACCTACTGAAGTATACCAGCTGAAGGTGACACATCCTGTGTGATGGAATAGGCAGGGAAACATAATAGGCAGGGAAACATAATAGGCAGGGAAACATAATAGGCAGGGGAACATAATAGGCATGGAAACATAATAGGCAGGGGAACATAATAGGCAGGGAAACATAATAGGCAGGGGAACATAATAGGCAGGGAAACATAATAGGCAGGGGAACATAATAGGCAGGGAAACATAATAGGCAGGGAAACATAATAGGCAGGGGAACATAATAGGCAGGGAAACATAATAGGCAGGGAAACATAATAGGCAGGGAAACATAATAGGCAGGGGGACATAATAGGCAGGGGAACATGATAGGCAGGGGAACATAATAGGCAGGGGAACATAATAGGCAGGGAAACATAATAGGCAGGGAAACATAATAGGCAGGGAAACATAATAGGCAGGGGAACATAATAGGTAGGGAAACATAATAGGCAGGGGAACATGATAGGCAGGGGGACATAATAGGCAGGGGAACATAATAGGCAGGGAAACATAATAGGCAGGGAAACATAATAGGCAGGGGAACATAATAGGCAGGGAAACATAATAGGCAGGGAAACATAATAGGCAGGGAAACATAATAGGCGGGGGAACATAATAGGCAGGGGAACATAATAGGCAGGGAAACATAATAGGCAGGGGAACATAATAGGCAGGGAAACATAATAGGCAGGGGAACATAATAGGCAGGGAAACATAATAGGCAGGGAAACATAATAGGCAGGGAAACATAATAGGCAGGGGAACATAATAGGCAGGGGAACATAATAGGCAGGGAAACATAATAGGCAGGGGAACATAATAGGCAGGGAAACATAATAGGCAGGGGAACATAATAGGCAGGGGAACATAATAGGCAGGGAAACATAATAGGCAGGGAAACATAATGGGCAGGGAAACATAATAGGCAGGGGAACAAAAATAGGCAGGGAAACATAATAGGCAGGGGAACATAATAGGCAGGGGAACATAATAGGCAGGGAAACATAATAGGCAGGGGAACATAATAGGCAGGGAAACATAATAGGCAGGGAAACATAATAGGCAGGGAAACATAATAGGCAGGGAAACATAATAGGCAGGGGAACATAATAGGCAGGGAAACATAGCTGTTGTTACCGCTGTCACTCATATTTAATAGTCGTAGATACAATTTTGCTAGGAAAAAAACTGAGGGGTTTTGACAGCTGCCAGAAATAGTGGTGTTGACAGCTGCCAGCAGTAGTGGTGTTGACAGCTGCCAGCAGTAGTGGTGTTGACAGCTGCCAGCAGTAGTGGTGTTGACAGCTGCCAGCGGGTAGTGGTGTTGACAGCTGCCAGCAGTAGTGGTGTTGACAGCTGCCAGCAGTAGTGGTTTTGACAGCTGCCAGCAGTAGTGGTGTTGACAGCTGCCAGCAGTAGTGGTGTTGACAGCTGCCAGCAGTTAGTGGTGTTGACAACTGCCAGCAGTAGTGGTGTTGACAGCTGCCAGCAGTAGTGGTGTTGACAGCTGCCAGCAGTAGTGGTGTTGACAGCTGCCAGCAGTAGTGGTGTTGACAGCTGCCAGCAGTAGTGGTGTTGACAGCTGCCAGCAGTAGTGGTATTGACAGCTGCCAGCAGTAGTGGTGTTGACAGCTGCCAGCAGTAGTGGGTGTTGACAACTGCCAGCAGTAGTGGTGTTGACAGCTGCCAGCAGTAGTGGTGTTGACAGCTGCCAGCAGTAGTGGTGTTGACAACTGCCAGCAGTAGTGGTGTTGACAGCTGCCAGCAGTAGTGGTGTTGACAGCTGCCAGCAGTAGTGGTGTTGACAGCTGCCAGCAGTAGTGGTGTTGACAGCTGCCAGCAGTAGTGGTGTTGACAGCTGCCAGCAGTAGTGGTGTTGACAGCTGCCAGCAGTAGTGGTATTGACAGCTGCCAGCAGTAGTGGTGTTGACAGCTGCCAGCAGTAGTGGTGTTGACAACTGCCAGCAGTTAGTGGTGTTGACAGCTGCCAGCAGTAGTGGTGTTGACAGCTGCCCAGCAGTAGTGGTGTTGACAGCTCCCAGCAGTAGTGGTGTTGACAGCTGCCAGCAGTAGTGGTGTTGACAGCTGCCAGCAGTAGGGGGTGTTGACAGCTGCCAGCAGTAGTGGTGTTGACAGCTGCCAGCAGTAGTGGTGTTGACAGCTGCCAGCAGTAGTGGTGTTGACAGCTGCCAGCAGTAGTGGTGTTGACAGCTGCCAGCAGTAGTGGTGTTGACAGCTGCCAGCAGTAGTGGTGTTGACAGCTGCCAGCAGTAGTAGTGTTGACAGCTGCCAGCAGTAGTGGTGTTGACAGCTGCCAGCAGTAGTGGTGTTGACAGCTGCCAGCAGTAGTGGTGTTGACAGCTGCCAGCAGTAGTAGTGTTGACAGCTGCCAGCAGTAGTGGTGTTGACAGCTGCCAGCAGAAAGTGGTGTTGACAGCTGCCAGCAGTAGTGGTGTTGACAGCTGCCAGCAGTAGTAGTGTTGACAGCTGCCAGCAGTAGTGGTGTTGACAACTCCCAGCAGTAGGGGTGTTGACAGCTGCCAGCAGTAGTGTGTTTGACAGCTGCCAGCAGTAGTAGTGTTGACAGCTGCCAGCAGTAGTAGTGTTGACAGCTGCCAGCAGTAGTAGTGTTGACAGCTGCACCCAGTAGTGGTGTTGACAGCTGCCAGCAGTAGTAGTGTTGACAGCTGCCAGCAGTAGTAGTGTTGACAGCTGCCAGCAGTAGTGGTGTTGACAGCTGCCAGCAGTAGTGGTGTTGACAGCTGCCAGCAGTAGTGGGTGTTGACAGCTGCCAGCAGTAGTGGTGTTGACAGCTGCCAGCAGTAGTGGTGTTGACAGCTGCCAGCAGTAGTAGTGTTGACAGCTGCCAGCAGTAGTGGTGTTGACAGCTGCCAGCAGTAGTGGTGTTGACAGCTGCCAGCAGTAGTCGTGTTGATATTTTTCACGAATACAAATAAAAAACTTCTGACCAACATATAGGTAACATTCTTCCCAGCTGACCTGGCCATCTCTTTAAGCGGAACTTTAAACAACATATCGGTCCATCCTTAACCGATATCTATAACCGGAACTTAGCAAACGAGATTCCTCTCCAAGGTGTAAGTTACGTGTTCTGTGTTCCAACTAAGTTATTCTGACTGGTAACTTAGTTAAGTCAAGTGACTCAACCTGACTCAAAACTCACTCGTATAAACTGAGAAAAATAACAATAAATAAAGTATTATTTTAATTAGTAAGAAACGCAGGAAGGCTTATTAACCCAGGATAACCCGTTAAAGCCAAAGATTGTGGCTTATTTTTCCTTGGGAATCTCTTATCCCTCTACCCAGGATGCCACCCACAACAGCCGACTAACTCCTAGGTACCTGTTTGCTGCTAAGTGACCAGGTTGATAAATTAGACACATGTGCAACTCTTGGGTATCTTTATTGAGGAAACGTTTCGCCACACAGTGGCTTCATCAGTCCATACAAAGGAGAATCTTGAAGAACAGGAGGAGAATGAGGTAATCAGTCCCTCAACCTAGGAGTAGGTGCGAACAGCACCATAGTCGTGGAATCTCCACGACTATGGTGCTGTTCGCACCTACTCCTAGGTTGAGGGACTGATTACCTCATCTTCTGTACATAGTTCTACTGTCTTCAAGTTAGGTCCTAGAATTTGTATTGATAAAGCCACTGGATGGCGAAACGTCTACAATAAAGATACCCAGATGTTGCACATGTGTCTTACTCTCATACCCAAGAGTTGCACATGTGTCTAATTTATCAACATGTCGGTTCTCTGAACCATTCATCTACAAATAAGTGACCAGGTGCTGCGGGTGTTAGGATCCACAGGTGCTAGGCATACTAATACCTATCAACTGTGGAATAAAACACGTGTGTGATAATTAGGACATGTGTTGCACATGTATCTTAGACTTGCCTAGCCCCAGCCCGAGATTGAACCCGGGTCTTTTCTGTTGTGAGCGAAACGCTTTACTGCTGAGATACGTGGCATCTTATTTACGACGTTTCGGTCCACCTTGCACTATTATCAGTTCGTGATAATGGTTCAAGACAGCGAAACCTCGCATAGTTTTCATTTACTGTTTGAGAATTATTCCAACCACGATATTGTGCATTGTACCAACCACGATGTTGTGCATTGTACCAACCACGATGTTGTGCATTGTACCAACCACGATGTTGTGCATTGTACCAACCACGATATTGTGCATTGTACCAACCACGATATTGTGCATTGTAACAACCACGATATTATGCATTGTACCAACCACGATATTGTGCATTGTACCAACCACGATATTGTGTATTGTACCAACCACGATATTGTGTATTGTACCAACCACGATATTGTACACTGTACCAACCAGTGGCTTCTTCAGTCCAAAGAGAAGAATAGTTGATGATCGGCAGGAGTTGGAAGCAATCAGTCCCTCAGTCTGGAGTCGATGTGTTCATGTAATCAGTCTCGATAAAAATATAGCATATGTACGGA